TGCTGTCGAAATCGCCGAAACCCACAACCAATAGCGCCGCCGGAACAAAGCCCAGACCAAATCCACCACAGAGGACGCCGGAAACAAGAAGCACACACCAGAAAACACCACAGATGGTGCCGACAGCAAGAGCCGCACAAACGGCTGACCAAAGGAGAACCGAGAAGGCGCCTACGAGAGAAACCCACAAATCCAAAAAAAAAATTCAAGCAGACACGAGAATCAGCAATCCTCGCTCTGATACCATGTCAAAATACTAGAGAGTATGAAGAGAGAATTTTTGGAAAAAGATGATCCTGTGATTCGGCCACCTCCATTCTATATACAAGTAATTGATTCCTAATTTTCGCATCTATACATGGTAAGAATATATATATAAATAGCTAATAATAATAATAGAGTCCTAAATTGTATAAACTCCCAAATTTGTATATGGTAACAACATTATCTGTGATTACTATGTTGAAAAAACTCAACATCCATCACAGAGAGAGAGAGAGAGAGAGAGAGAGAGAGAGCTGTGCATCTACCTGGAAATCTGAAGAAGTACATGTGAAATGACACTGTAACTGTAGCAACAAACTAGAAACTACAAAGATCAAATGTAGAAAGTGCCTCACAGGATATTACATCCTTCAAATTCTTACAGTCAAAAGCTCCCTGGATTACATTTTCATTTGATGCATGAGGACAATACTCAACGAGTGGTAGGACAAATTGTTGTTTCAACTCATAGAGACATCCAAGTCATGTAGATATTGCACACACTAATTCTTTTTCTAGTGTAACAAGCAGGGTTTTGTATGGGATGGGTTTTACTTTGGGCTATTAAATGGTTTAGTTGAAGGTGGAAAAGGAATAAAATGCAAAATCATCAATCTTGTGCTCGATTAGCTTGCTTTTCTTCTATTAAATGGTTTAGTTGAAGGTGGTAAAGGAATTAAATGTAAAATCATCAATCTTCTGCTCGATTAGCTTGCTTTTCTTCTTTCAATTCTGCGGCTAAAATAGTGCTATTCAAATTTGTTTTATGTTATATACTAAACTATTTAATTTTCAAAATATTGGATCAACTTACTGGCTTGTGTTAACTCACAAGCTGCACTTTCCGAGCATTTTGTTCACTCGGAGTAATTGTTTTAGGATCCTCTAAGAGTTTCAGGAGTTCCTAAAGAAGTCATGAAGATTTCAGCTGGCTACCATCATTCTGCTGCAATCACAGGTTTCTTACTAGAACCATGTTCAAGCTTCATTTCTGCTTAGATTTTCATTTCTTGTCTAGCTAAGTAGATTATGGTTTTTAGCATCATTTTCCAAAGTTCTTTGGCATTCTAGTTTCTGCTGTTGTTCAATCATTATTGTGATTATATAATCCTTCTATAGAATTGTGAACTAAAATTCCCTCAATATTTACAAACTTATACTATAACTCTAAATATATCCACATAATATGACATACAAAAATGAATCTCCTACCTCCATATGTATCCGGTACATTCCAATCATCATTAATTTCACCTGCAGAACTAATTGGAACCACTACCTAAATTGCAATAGAAGTATCCGCTGCTCTCATGATTTTAAGCAAGGATTGCACATTCTACCAAATTTGTCACACAGACTAAGATCCTGAATATCTGGAATGGCAATTATAGAAGTAAGATGAATAGCCCAGTAAACAAACCCAAGTCTTGTAAAGCTAAATAGGCATCAATTTTTATAGACGAATAAAGTAATGCACAGTCATTATAAACCAGCAACGAATGATTAAAGAAAGAATTTGCAAACTTAAGAATAAACCAAATTTGAATACAATCCCAGAGCTCTGTGTTGATGGTATCAATCTCCCTTAGAGGAGCCTTGTAATGGTATTCCAATTTCCCGATCGGGAGAGCTATGAGATACAATGACTCGTAGTATATCAGTATGGTTCATCTGGTTCTGGTTCAAAAGTCATTATAATCCGGACATAGTCTTCATCCTGATGACAGTGAACTTGCATATGACATGGTTGAGAAGTATCCTCGCAGCCCAGGGTTTTCTTATTTTTCCATGGCTGCACAATTTCTATTTACTTCTATCCCATCATCCAGATTTTCTCTTTCTGATAACAGGCCTAGAGCAATCAATAATATTTGACAACAAATACCATGTGATACTCATGCATAGCTCTGAATTCTTCTACTCACTAATATATCACCTATGATACAACAATTGATTACCCTTGCTTCAGTTACTCCTTTTAACTTGTTAATAAGATGTATTCTTTTGATTGCTATTGTCTTCTTTACTTGATATGTATACTTTTATTTTTAGCTATTTGACACTTACAGTTCTGAGCCTTACTCTTTTATGTGTATTTTTGATCTTATAATGTTTTTCTGCCCTTTTGTAGTGGATGGGGAGCTCTATATGTGGGGGAAAAACGCCAATGGACAACTAGGCCTTGGAAAAAGTAATTATTAGTCCCAGGATCTATATTTCTTAGTCATCAGCCATTTTCTTGTTTTCACTATTAGATTAGAAATTATACTTTAAGTCACTTTTAATCTGTAACTGTAGAATTTGTGTGATAATGATTTTGTTTGTGCAGTTAATTTTATATGACATCATTACTGTTATCATTGTTGTTACTTGAGAGATTTTGGAAAAGGGGATGAGCAATTCAATTTGGTTACTTGTCACTGTAAAATAAATCGTTCATTAATACATTGGTTTAACATAACAGTCAGCTGTACCAATACAAATGTGGTTATATGGGAAAGATATTTTAACGTGTTAGATGAAGCCTATCAATCATGTCACTGAAGTTATGATAATTATGTTCTTGAAATACATGCTTTAGAATTTGGATCTACGACCATAAAATTCAACACACACAATTTTCATCACTCAATTTCGGTCCTGGTCTGCAGAAGCGGAACAGGTCGTTCCTTTACCCAGTAAAGTTGAATGCTTGGATGGAGTCACAATTTCAACGGCATCCCTGGGATTTGAACACTCAATTGCTGTTACAGGTCTAAATCTTAATCTGGAAGCATTTCTTGCGTTCTCTATTTTGGCTTAATAATCACTTTTCAGCATCATGTGGAATTACTTTTGTACTGGTTCATTGTTTTTCACTGTATTTTATGTACACCTTATTCCCAGATGGAGGTGAACCCTTGAGTTGGGGAGGAGGAGAATTGGGAAGACTTGGTCATGGACATGAATCAAGCATTTTGGGATTTCTGAAAAGTAGCAGGTTCAATTTTATGTTGGTTTATAGTCCCTAACATTCTTCTATAGCTCATAATTATTTCAATATTACCATTTAAGGAAACTTTTTATTCATTTCCAGTTGTCCAACCCATTACTAACTTTTTTTGATATGCAATTTATAGGTGTTGGATATCTTTTGTCCACATATGTGCTTCTTATTTCTTATTAATATGAGATGACGTTGCTTGGTCTAATGACCATTACCTTTTCTGTTAGTATACTCAATAATCATCTCCTTTAAAAATTTAAGCTTAAAACTTTAAGATGAGTAAAGGGGAACTTTATTTATGGCTAATATGATTCCTGGCCTCTCTTGCACATTTTTCACTCTTGAAAAGAAGTCGAAAATCCATAATCGAATCTTTTGAAAAAAAAAAATACAAAAATTTTGCATATCGAATTCGAAGTTCCATGCTTTTATTACTTAATATTCATATGGCGAAGGAATAGTCTTCTTTTTTCTCTCAAATAAAAAAAACCTCATACCGCGGTTCACACTCCCTTACGATTTAACGGTTTCTAATGAAGACATTAAAACTACTATGTTTTTTTGAAAAACTAAACAAGAGCAAAATAATGGGGACAGAAAAAGTGGGTGTTTTTCCATGTTTTGGGAACAAGATAAATGTGGATTGATGGCCAATTAGTCATCTTGGACTAGGCTTGTGTGAGTCCACACTATATTCTAATAGAGATTACTTGGATCTATGGTTGGCTGGCCTAACTTCGAGCTGAGTACAATTACCTACGTCCAACTAGATCATTGCTAGGCCGAGCCTACATTAAATTAAAAAATAAGCTCATGGTAGTTCACCATGGCCCAACCTCAAAGCCTAATTGTTTCGCCAAAGGGCTTCCCTTTTTGGGCAAGGCTCGGGCTGGGCTATCCCACTAGTAAAGTATAATAATGTATTAATAAGTTTTAGATAAAAGAGTATTGTATTAGAGAGAAATTTACTCTAAAGCTCAAAATATAAAAGAAAAAGTGCTTATTAAGAGCATGTTTGAGCCCTCTTTTTTGCAAAAAATGCATTTTGAAATATTATTTTTATGGGGAACCATGTGGTTAAAAAATAAGGAAATTTTTTAGGTTGCATGTAATATTATTTTATTGAGGAATATGCGGTTGAAAATAAGAAAGAGAAAAATGTAATTTGGAAATAATGGGGACCAAACAAGGGTTAAATAATTGAAGTATAACTTTACTTAACATTAATTTATAGGTAATTATTAATAAGATAAATAAATTTAGTGCCCTTGTATAAACTACTAAAACTTTGAATATCTATATGCTGATTTTCTTGGGTTTGTTTGGACCTGGCTTATTTGTATTTTGTGTATAGTTTAGGCAATCTAATGTAAACGTTGCTGTTGCTTAAAATTACCAATTGTGTTGAAAACTCACATTCTATGATCATTCATTGTCCTTTTCTGTTCCCCCTCTCCCACCTTCTGTCCTTTTCTTTTTGTTATCGGTCGGTAGATAAATCGGGAAACAGGTTCTGCTTTGATGTAAACAATTTATGTATTGGAATTCAAAACTAATAAGTCCTATTCAAAATATTCTTCTTACTTTTTCTACTGCTTGAGTGAACACAATTGAAGATTTGAATCATAGACCCACAAGAATTCATCTTCTTGTTGAAAGCCTCGTTTCTTCACCAACACTATCATTACAAGATGCAAACCCAAATCTGTTCATATTTTTCCTTTTGCAAAAGTAAAAAACTGGATTTCCTTTTGTTTGGTTGTTTCTTTCAATCTTCTTTTAACAACATGATCATTGTTGTCCCAGTGTTTGATTATTACTTGCGAAAGAAAAACTTTTATGAAGTTTACTACAATATGTTTTTCTTCTTACTAATGCTCAATTCTGTATTTATATTTCCCTACTGCTTCCAAATGCAGTGAATATACACCACGGCTTATCAAAGAACTTGAGGGAGTCAAGGTACTTCACTTGTAGAAACATGTTTCTTCATCATTTAGTTCCAAATTCCTTTTCAAGGAAACTCTCAAATTTACAGAGATGCTAATTGTTTTTTGTTCTTCTTGAAAACTATTTATGAAAATATAGGTCAAAAGTATTTCTGCTGGGATGCTGCATTCTGCCTGCATTTCTGGTTTGTCGTTTACGGGTTTCCAGCTGATCTGCTCAATATACCTGCATCCTATAACTATTTATTTCCAGCATTATATGTGTGAATTTTACAGAGAATGGTGCTGTATATTTTTTTGGAGAAAGAGCATTGGAGAAAATGGTAAGTTAAATGTGAAATTTTCAAGTTTTAGCAATGCTATGAAACTTCATTATATTGGTACTGTTGTGAGAGATTAATTATCAGATTGATGTTTGACTTTTGTTTTTTGTGTAAACAAAGTTTTTTGGCAAGGCAAACAATGCTACTACACCATCCATGATCAGCTCATTACCATTTTCAAAAGAGGTTGCATGCGGTGGTTATCACACCTGTGTTATTACAAGTAATCTCTTATCTGGTTCAATATTGTAACTTGATCTGCCTTTATCATGAGAATAAGTTGATTTCTTAGCATTATGATGCCACATCTTAGTCTTTACTTTTCTCCAATATAGATAGCTTCAGAAGAATTATAAAGTTGTAATACCTAGGCATCCTGAACTGAAATTGGAGTTTGACACAGACAGAAGCGTGCAAGAACAATAACACATGATAGACAAAACTTTGATCTGTGTACGAATACCATTTGGATCAAAGTGAAAACCTAGTTGCCAATCAATTGAAATTGGCTCCTAGTCCCAAGACTCTTAAGATTAATGAAAAGAACCCCTACTAATGAGTATTTAATAGAAGTTCTTAATTAAAAAAAATGACATAATATTATAATTAAAGTCATCCGTCTCTGGTCTACGTCATATCCATATCTCATCTTCATCGTTCTCTCTGGATTGACGAATCTTCAACCTCGAATCTTTTGCCATATTTTCATCCGGTGTCTTGTGGCAGCGTTACTTCATGTCAACAAAGAATAATGCTTTTTAAAAATAAAAAAAAAAGGAAAACCTACCCCAAATGGCATCATGGATGTTTATCTTCAGTGGGTTCATGTTGTAAACTAGAAAAATGATCTCAAGCTCCATATTTCTTTCTGTGGAGAAGGCATAAAGCTCAATCACTATATTGTTGTAATCTAAATAAGAATTCCCAGTTTGTGCTGCTCTTTGTAAAATTCTCGCAACATCGAAATATGTAGATTTATTGTTGCAATATACCCTAGCGATTAAATTGGCATGATCCCTAAGTATAATACTATTGCACTGGCTTTTCCATAAAAAAGACATTAAGGATGTTCACAAGTTTTCCAAACCCTTGGATAACCTTGCTACATGGCTCTTTGTAACAAAACGTGACCAATGTCAGTAGATTTCCTACTGGGGTTGCTGATCATGAAATTATAAACTTGCAAATCAATGTCTATAACATTCAAATCATTAGTCTCAGATAGGAAGTGGAAATCATTTCGCCTCAGGTCTTTATGCTTAATGACTATGCCTAATGAATCTTGTCCAAACTTGATTCCATATTTTCAACACCCCCCCCCTCCCCCCCCCCCCCCCCCCCACTCATATACTAGTTCATCAAGTTTACAATCGTCAAGATGAAGAATTTAAGATTTTGAATCCCTTGATTTGTTAACCACGTATCATGGAATGAAAAATAAAATAAAATTATTTGAATGTGTCTTTACTCTTCATTAACTTATTGTTCTCGTACTTATTTACATATGTAAGGCCTTCTTTTAGGATTGTTGAACCCAAATCTTTTCGAACTTGTCTTGCATAGTTTAATAGGTCTCTTACTTTTCTGCATATCTCCAAGGTGTTCTTGCATAATTTTTTAATCCTCGCGGATTTTAAGAAGTTAATTTTTGTATATGATGTCCTTTCATCACATAGATGGTGGAGAACTGTACACATGGGGCTCCAATGAGAATGGCTGTCTTGGCATTGGGTATACGCCTTTCACATAAACACGTTATTAAATTAAATACACAAAGGCAACTTATTGTTTGATTGACATATTTCTTTATCTCAGCTATTCAGGTGTTGCTCATTCACCTGAAAGAGTCGAAGGTCCATTTTTGGGGGAACCTGTTAGCAAGGTTGGCAATCCCTCTATTAAGAATTTGTAGACTAGGGTTCTTACTTTTTGAGTGTTGTTCTGCTGTAATCTATGTTACAAAATTGTGATTCAATGTTCCATCCATCTCCTTGCCCACCTCGTGTGATGGGCATATGATGATAACAGAAAAGAAGTTCAATGCTGTAAATTTGACTACATTTTTTTCTTTAATTATATAATCGTTCTCTTTCTTATTTGTTAATACATTTTTGTTTTAACAGGTGGCCTGTGGTTGGAAGCATACAGCAGCAGTTTCTGGTAACTGTTTTGGCATGAATATTTTTGTTCTCGTGTCTTGGGTAACTTCAAATATACATAACACGTGACTTCTGATCTGTCTTAAATAATATCCATTTGATGATAATCTTCTGCCATACCTAAACAAATAAAAGATGAAGTGTTGACATATAGATGTTCTGAAGTGCATTTTGAATCATTTTTTGTATGCATTAGCACGTGAAACTACTTTCCTGTGCTTTTCGTTTGTTCTTAGGTAGGTTCAAAGGAAGTCTTTGTGCACTTCAAATCCTAAATGTGATTACTTTATATTCTAAAGTAGCAGGTCATTTCTCCAAAATGTATACATTCTGGTCAAGTAAATTGATCTTTTTAAGAATTACATGGAATACTCTGGCATATACCCTTTTCATCAAAAAAGTTTTTGATGATCGTCGTGCTCTTTTTTCATTTTGCGGTGTTCCTTTCCTAATTACTTAGAAGCATTTATTTATTTGCCTAATAAGTATGGATGTGTCATGTGCGTATGTACAAATTAAGACAAAGTTTTAATGTATGTTGGAACTTTACAACACTCGTCAATTGCACCGAGTTCAAGATGTATTTGGGCTGATATGCACTTCCTTCCTCGAAATAAACCAATCCCCTGAATTTGATTGTAGTCATAATTAGGAAACACTTATTTGAGTTGTTTCTTTAATAGGCATCCTTACAAGGTGAAATCTCAAGTGGAGAATAGTAGAAGATAAGGACAATGAAAAGAGAGTTCTTGAAGAATTTTTTCTACCTCTTCTAATTGGAAAACATTAATTTTATTTTTAAGTGCCCTCATATTGGCTAGTGAGCTGTGCCACCTCGCATAACACATTCTACAGGTAACCAAGGACCTAGTCATAAATTCATAAGGAAGCTTGGGTTGGGTCTTGGTGCACTAGAGCATCAAGATTAAAGAATTAAGATATGTGATCTCCATATCACCATTATGATAAATTATCAAATTAAGACACTTATAATCTATATTTAGAGGAGAAAATAAACATGGAAAGTTGTTTACCAATTTTTATTTATTGTCATAACAATGGAAGATCAAGAACAACCACCACCTAAGCCTTATTCCGGATTAATTTAGAGTCAGTTAATTCAATCCTTTTCGTCACTCAGATTCAGTGCTACATCTGCTGGAAGGAGCAAAGCAGATGGTTCCTTAGCAACCACAACTATAAAAGATCAATAAAAAAGGAAACTAATTTGGAATTGGAAAAATCTGCTAGTACTTGAACACAGTATAGTGAAAGTAGAAACGTTATATGGAAACTGAAAAAGAAAGAAACTTTGTAAGTTCTCTGCAGGCTTCATCCCTCATTGGCCCAACTTATTGTTGATAGAGATTGAAATTTAAGTGCTATATTTTTAGTAATTTTGCATCCATTCTTTATTTTCTGACATGACTCGAATTAATTGCTGACATCTAGGGGGCAATATATACACTTGGGGCTGGGGTGGTTCACATGGAACATTTTCAGAAGATGGACACTCTCCAGGCGGACAATTGGTTTGTTTATATCTTTTTACTTTGTGTGGCTTAAATTGTTTGATATTCCATCTATATTTTTATCTGGTACTGGTCGAAGAATGATATTGTGTCTGTCCATCCAGGAACAGATGGTAAGTATTTGGTTAGTAACTACAAATATCTGCAGAAATCTAACAAATAGTATGTTCTTACTAAACATACGCACATTCGTTTTTTGTATTGGGTTTCATGAACTATCAGAAATCATGCCTAAAATTCTTTAAATGTGTTTAAAACTATCGTGTCCATTTGCTCGTTTTAAAATATTGATTTATCATCTCAGTCCTCCCTTGTGAATTGTCCCTATTATCTTTGCATTGGATAAATTGCTCGCTCAGGATCTTATTATCTTTGTGTTAGCAATGTCTTATCTCCAACTGAATTAAATTGCATTTCTATTCAGGGTCAGGGTGATGATGTTGACTACATGGAACCTACTTTGCTCGACTTCAACAAGAACGTAAAAGCGTTGCAAGTATCTTGCGGATTTAATCACACGGGTGGCCTTTTCGAATATATCTGAATAATAGCCGTGACATTTAGTCCTTTTCATCGTTCTGTTTCTGCCAAGTGATTTTGCAGAAGATTTCTGCACTATTTGTTAATTCTTTAAAGATGAAGATTTGACCGACCCAACATTTGTTATATTCGTCAAGAGAACTAAAGGGAAAAAGCAGAGTACATAATGAGGTGCATGATATATATTTTGTGTCAATGGATATTTTCTAAAAAATAAAGGACAGCCATATTTAAAGAAAGTGTATCTGTATCATAACTTAAGATGATAAATGTTTTCTGTGTATTGTTCAGAATGTAGTTTCTATATGATGGGGTTTTGTATATGGCTGATGTCGAGATCTAGTGCATGACCTCTGGCCTCTTGTACACAGTTTTTCTCAATTCTAGTGGAGGCCTTCTTGCATTGAAAATGCTTGGTGTCTGATAAGTATACGAGCTTGACTCCTTTCATTTGAACTGGCTTGTATATTTAACTTAAACATCGAGACATGGACTTGAACTTAGTCGACTCCTAGATGATAGGTGATAAGTGACCATACATTTAGGTCAACATGTGTTATGTGAAATTGGCTATTGTAAGAATTACTAAAGATGGTAAAGGGTTGTCCCTGTTTGCTACAAATTATTTTATTAGTTTTTGTGTATAATTAAAAATCAGCTGTTTAGATGTGTTTAAACTTACTCGAGTCGATAGAATCTCAGTCTCAAAATATAGTTTTATTGTTGTAGCAATGAGCACTAGGGAATTAACTAATATTTTCCATGCAGGGGCGGACCCATACCATTTGTCTTGTGGGGTCAAAAATGAGAATTCAACAATGTTTAGAACTACATATCATTAACGAAAATAAGTTAATACGCTATTATAATTGTAGCCTACGCGTTTTCATACTCTAAAAACGTCGTATAATTATATCGTTATCAATATTGTTAAGTACATCGTTTTCAATATATGCAACCAAACTATTACTTAACAATTGATCTCCCATCCGACTACGCAGTCGATTCTTGGCAATTTTCATTGCAAAAAATACTTACAAACAAATTTATTTTAAATCACTAAGTTAGACAAACTGACAAAGCCATTACACTTGATACGTAAAATAACGCATGATTTTTCACTTAGATTTAACATTTTCACCGACCAAAGAAGGTGGTCGATGAATATGACACCCAACCAGTGACCATATAGTAGTCACTGTTATTAATTTTCAGCGATCGCTTGACCTTTGGTCGTGGAAACACTTGGCACGATAAATCCTACTACTTATTCAGTCAATTTTGGCTGGCACGCGATGATTTTCGCCAATTTGAGAATAATGAATTTCAAATCATTGATGAATAGGTAATCGTTAGAATATATGAGTAATCAATGGATTAAATTTTGAACTATGCTACAGTGTTAGAATACTTGACATAATAGTTAACATAATATTNCCAAAAAAAAAAATTACTATTCAAAAACTCACTCTCTTCAAAAAAAAAAAAAAACTCAAAAAAATAAAAATAAAATTGTGGGGTTAAAAAGTTCAAAAAAAATAAAAATAAAAAAACTCAAAAAAAAATAAAAAATTGTGGGGTCATTTGACCCCACATGACCCCATGTGGGTCCGCCCATGTTTCCATGTGTCACTAAACTAAGCACCTCACTTCTGAGGGTGGACAAAAAATTCGGAACCATCAAAATCGAATCAGAATTGGTTGGTTCGATTATGTTTTCAAATTGTTCTAGTTCTTGGAACTTAGAAGAGGCTGGTTCCAATTTTGGTTCTAGAACCAGAAACGAGAATTTAGTATTGGTTTTATTTATTTATTTTTTTCCCCTTTTTTGAGGTTTTTTTATTAAAAAAAAAAAAATTTCCTCATGCAACTTTAAGTAATTTTAGGGATGACAAAGGTGGGACGGCCGGACGGGCAGCCATTACCTTGTCTCTCATCTCATTTGGGTATTTTTGTCTTCTTGTACTGTTCTATACCCATATAAGGTGGCTGGGGCGGGTCGGTTTATCCCACTATTTATTTATTTTCTTTTATTTTATATTTTTAGTTGATGAAAATCATTGCTTTTTATTTCAAATTATAGAAAACTTCTTGTTTCCTCTAAGAATGATAATGATTCTTTCCTTTTCGTGTGATAAAAATATTTGTAGTTGGAAAATAACTTTAAATGAGGCAGGTAATAAGACGAGGACTATGTTTCCCTTTACCCGCCTCCCCTTTGTCACGGGGCAACAATTCTAGTCCCGTCCTTGTCCCATATACCTAATTAGGCTGGGATAATGGGGCGGGACCATAGGTATTAGGCATAATCGATTATTTGACGATCCCTAAGTAATTTTCATTTTCATTTCTTTTCTATAAACTTAACTAGTTATAATTGTCAGATTTTATGGTAAGAAAAACGAATTTCATGGTTCTCACTTTGCATTTATTATTTGAAGACTTTTGTTCTGGTCGACTCCAACTATTATGAAAAAATTCATTGATTTCTTGGTTCAGTTTGGTTCTAGTTCTCTTTGAAACTGAGTTTATCCTTTATTTTTTAAAATCATTTAATCACAAAAAAGGGAATATTTTTGTTTAGACTCAAATGTTTAAAATTAGTGTCTACATCAAGCATATTCAACCATATGCATCTCTCAAAGGATTCCAAGCATCATTTGAAAGGCCACAATTGCTTAGATGAGTCGAACTATTGAAAACACATTCGCTTCTCAAGTTTGATTGATACTAGTAATTGAATTTAAGTGGGAGTTGACGAATTCTTTTAAGGATGAGTAGTTCTGAATGGAGGAGAAGGATATAGATATGAAAACATCATTCAAAGCACTTATCTATTGTTGCTTAACAGAGGTTGATTGAGATTTTATTCAACTCTCATTAATAGGGGCGGAGCCAGGATTTATATTCAGTGCGGGCATTTTTTCTTCGACGCCAAACATCTTCGAGGTTTTGGTCATGGATTGAATGATGATAAAAATATAAAACAACAGTACGAGAATACTAAAAAGACATAATTGATATATTACACTTGTTCCTTGCGAGTTTTCATACTTTGATATCGCTGTACAATATTTTCATTATCGAGCTTCAAAAATATATCTTTCTCGACATAAACAATCGTATTATCATTCATCCACTGATCACCCATCCGGTTACGCAATCTATCCTTAACAATGCTCAATGCAGAAAAGACTCTCTCCACAGTAGCGGTAGCAACCGGTAGAATCAATGCTAAAGTTAAAAGTTTGTAAACCAATGGATAGACCTTATGTTTCTTTGTGAGGACTAACTTCTTCGAAAGATCACCAAGGTCATTAAACCCTTCAAAGTCTTTGTGTGAGCACATGTCAAAAATATAAGTCTCAAATTGATCATTAAGTACAAGGAGATCAATTACTGAAAAGTCTAATAGCTATAACTCAGCAAGTCGAATCAAGCATTTCTTGTCAAAAGAAGAAAATGAATCTTGTGGACATAAACTCGCTACACAAAGGAGTAACTCGGTGTTTACCTCCGAAAAACGATCATTCAATTCTTGAAGTTGTAAATCAATGATAGAGTAGAATAAATCTACCTGGTAATGATGTAAATTTGTAATTCCTGGAGGATTACACTGAAGGCGACCACGAAGTGCAAGGCGTACAAACATATCATCCATGTCAGGTACATCAATATAATGTTGTTGACAGAAAGCACATACTTCTTCAAAAAAAAAAAAAAAAGAGTCCCACCGTTTCGTCCCTCATTATTTGGAGTCGTCGTTTGCATAATTTCACCAATTGCATTGCATTCACAAGATCTTGATCTTTTCTTTGCAATGCCTTCGACAGTTCATTTGATATCCCCAAGACGTTTCTCATCAACTGTAGATTAAATGCAAAATCAAATGTATGTATCGACTCCAATAAATTTGTTGCATCAGATCTTTGATCACAAGAGCAAGCTTCATCTTCAACAATCATTGCAAGCACATCACTAACAGAAGAAAACATGGCAAGTAAGCTGACCAACGAATTATAATGTGAACCCCATCGTGTATCACCAGAACGTTGAAGGGTTGTTTCTTGATTAAGGCCCCGGCCGCTTAAAATCTCACCATTTTCTATTGCCTCAACAATAAAGTCTGATTGTTTTTCTCGAAGAAGATCACAACGTTTAGACAATGCACCAACAATATTCACCACATCACCAACCACACGAAAGAAGTTAGTAATAGGAATGTTCTTCTTTGCTGCAGCTACAAGAGCCAGTTGAAGTTGTTAAGTAAAACAATAAATGTAATAAGCACATGAATTTTCCTTCAAAATGAGTGCTTTCAGACCATTAAACTTCGCTTGCATATTACTTGCCCCATCATAACCTTGTCCTCTCAATCTAGACATGCTCAAGTTAGAGAAGACCTTATCAATTCCAGCTTTAAGTGATAGAGCCGGTGTACTTGTAACGTGTTCAATCCCAATGAAATGTTCATTCACTTGTCCACTTATGTCTACATAACGTAATACTATTGACATTTGCTCATTCATTGACACATCACAAGATTCATCAACTAGAATAGAAAATAGTGACTTGCCAACATCTTTGATAATGACATTGATTGTTTCAACAGCACAAGCACTTCCTATATCCTTTTGAACATCAGGTGACGTCAATTTGCAATTTTGAGGTGCATTCCCCAATGTGACGGCATTTATATCTTCATTATGAGCAGCCAAAAATTGCAATAGAACTAAGAAATTACCAGGATTGAGAGAATCCTTAGATTCATCATGACCCCGAAATGAATGCTCTTGTCGCATTAGAATTCGAACACAATAAATAGACGCATTAAGACGTGTAACATACGAAATTCTTACTTATTCTGACTGTTTGTGTAAAGTTGATTGAATGTGTTGCTCTTGATTCATCAGATTTTCGCACTTAATACGAGCTTGATTATGTGCACTGTCATGAACTCCAACATGAGTGTGAAGTCTTTTTTTATCTTTCCAATATGTAAAA